CATCCGACAGGCTCAAGCTTTTAAGTCTTAACTTCAGCTGCTCCTGACTCCAGACCAGGCTCATTTCCTGTCCTATGTCAGGATTTACTCCATTTTCTGTCCACTTGGCTACAATTCTTTTGTAAGAAAAAGCAGCAGTGCAGGAAGCAGTGCAGTAACTACTACAGATAACACCTAAATATAATATAGTAACCACTACAGGTAACACCTAAATATTCACTTCCTATTGGATGCCCTGGGAGGGACAAGTCAGAACATAAGCAACTCTTTCCAGTGCTAACTCCTTCATAAGTCATGTTTATATTTACTACTGCATTTGTGGATACTGGGAGAAAGCTACTCCTGCAGGAGCATTTTCCCTCAGCAGCTTCAAGGAGCTCTTAAATTTGCCTCATATACCCAGGAATCAAACTCAGAAGCAAATATACAAAAGCAGCTACAGAATTAGTAAGTTAAGAACCATTTAAAGATGGGCAAATGCCCACAGTGCTTAAGACTTTTTGGCCTACAAGCAGATGAAGGTTCAGTAATCCTTCGAGATCAAATGGGACAAGTGGAATGTGAATCTTAACATGCTGAGTACAGAGAGAAACTGCAGCAGAGCAAGGACTGAGCTACGATTTCCAACTGCTTTTTACAGAGGAAAAAAGGTTAACAGACTGCTTAATGCATGTCACACTGAACACAGGAGCTTATTTATGGTCTCAGTGCCCCAAGGGTGCTATGCCTCCAAAATTGCTGGAATTACAGCTTTTGAAGTGAGTTTAAGGAAACAGCCCTTCCTATTTAGATTCTAAAGCCATCCTTCACGGAGCAAGTCAGGGAAACAAGAGTACTCACACTGAGAACAACTCCTTCAAGGGCATCCTGAGCCTTGCTGGTGAGACGTTTACCAACCTGGAGAGGACAAATTCAATTACTCACACAGAAAACAGCCACAGTTTTTTAACAGCTCGCCTGGACAAAAAGGTCATAAAACACCAGCGAGCTCAGCCCACCTCTGCTCCCTCCAACACTGTGTTTATTCAGAGACCCACTGACAGCTCCCAGCTGCAAAAGGAGTTTTGCATCCTGGTGGCTGAGAGTAACAGAGAAGCAAAGCTGAGCTTTACCTTGATAGGATGTTTCAAAGCCTCCAGCACAGTGATCCGAGAGGTTTCCCTCACCAGGGAAGGTTTGCCCAAACGAGCCTCAATGTATCTCCCTGCTACTGCTGTGGCATTTTTGGCAGAGTAAACACCCACTGCCAGCAGGGTCAGACCTGCCACCTGCAAAGAAAAGGGGGAAGGATTAGGACAAAACCACTTGGCAAGGCAATGCTGTTGCGTGGAGCAGGCCCCGTGGTGAGGAATTAAGATTCAAGGACGAATGCTGAGCAAGAGGGGTTTATTTTTGGTAAGGTGTTTTATCCCTGTGCAGACAGTCACGGTCTCACACTCCCTGCTCACAGGGCATTCACTGCTCCTGCACAGTGAAAGGCAGAGGAAGCACAAGGGCAGGATACAGTCCTGTATGCAGAGGTATGTACATCCTGCTCAAAATGTGTGGGGCTTTTCAGACTTAATTAACTTGAGTAATGAAGACAAATAGCCGTATCAACCAGGTGCTGTCTGCCAGACCACCCCTCACCATGCAAGACAATGAGTGCTGAATTAAAGATGCCAGGATAAACATCTGAATTGGGGCTGCCACCAAGGCAGTGCACAGGAGGGAACAGAAAGGACTAGCCAGGGAATGTCTGCTAAAGGTGACAGTCCCAACACAACAGGGAAATAGGTGCTCCAGAGGAACAAAGCCAAAACCACGTTGGAATTACCATCCCTGCATTAGACTGTTGTGTCAGAAACCCCAGAAGATGAGACATTCCCATTGATTTGCCAGTGAAGCAGAAACACTCCAGGCTTAGGAGTCAGCTTAAAGCTGATGCCAATAAATTATATGAGGGAAAGGCCAAACAGACAAAAGAGCAAACTGCAGCAATTGCTTTTAAAGTAAGCAGACTTTTCCTGCAAGTACAGCCCAAGGTCAAAAGCCCCAAGGACAACAAGGATGGCACTGCTCAACAAACCATGAGACACCATCTGTTCCCTTTCTCTCTGCTTAAATGGGTGACATCACTTTTGCTCTGGGTGGAAACGTGGAGGGTTCAGAACTGGGAGCTCTGGGATGCAAAGAATAAGGGAACCTCCACACCTGACTCAGCTCAGAACACAGAAGAGGCTTCACCTTTTTAGCAGCCTCCCTTTTAAAAACAAGATACCATTGATTTCATGCACTCTTAGACCAGTCCTGAGCAAAGTTACAGCTCACACCTCTCCCTGGATGGATCTGACATAAGTATTTCAGACTTTTGGACTTCCCTGACATTCATCTTACAAGATACAGAGAAACAGAGCTGTAAGACTGACAGCTCTGTACCAAAACAAGAACCCAACTACCATGCCAACTCTAAAAATCAGCCTGATTACAGTGCCTACCTGGTTATCATGCAAAGGACTGGATCTCTGATGAAGGAACAAAGTGAATTCCACTGAAAAACATAACAAGCCCCCAAAAACTTGGAGCAGAACATCTGGGGTACTGCTTGGATGGGAAGAGGTAGGAAAAGAGCAAAACAATAAGCAGGAAGAGATGAAAATTCCTGCCTCACTCACAGGAACCCTAAAATAACTGTCTAGTTCTTACCTTACAGCCATTTTTCAAAGCAAGAGAAAATATGAGTTCCAGCTGTGTTATCCCCTTTCCAAAAACATACTTACCTTTTTTTTTTTTTTGTTAACCTAAATGTCCCAAATTCACGAGACAAGAGCGTGTCAGAAGCAAAAATGACCATAATGCAGGGAATCAGTATCTGGGTCAAGTGAATACACAGCTAAAAGCACCAAGCACTGATCTGCACAAGGCTCTGAATACAGAGCCACCCCAGGTACAGATGACAAAGGGATCCATTTAAAAGCATGTCTTGTTCTCCCCAGTGCTCTCAGGCAAAGTGTCTTTTGTACCAGCCTGTGTGTATAAAATTAGAGGGTGGAGCAGATGGTGGTGCCTGACTTAAAGCAGAATGTCCATTTTAACCAGCCACGCTACCAAAAATATATTTTCACTGAAGTTTTGTGGTAAGAAGTACACTGAGAAACAACTTTGTGTCCCTAAGAAGCTCTTTTATCCTGTGGGAAGATGTTGGTCTGGCTTTCAATGGATTTATTTAAGACACAACAGTACTCTGAGTGCTCTTTCAGCTACATCAAAATTAGATATAAAGCTGTAACATAAGCAGCAAAGCAAGTTTTAGATCATCATGGTTTCCAGTTTATAAACACACCAAAGCAAGGAGTTGATTTAACACACATTTACAGACAGACTTTTCTGGAAGTTACTGGCAGGTATCACAATCTTACCGTGGCTGTAACTTTATCCCAGTCTGTTACAAAAGCACGGAATCCTTCCCCAAAGAGCATCCCAGCTGTCCTGTGGTGAGCAAACAGCAGAGCAAGAAGGAGAAAAGGGGATTTCAAAGACTGAATTGAAACAATTTACAAGACAACTTTATAATGATCTTCTTCAGAACCAGTCAAAAGATAAGTGAGGGCTCACCATGGAACTGAAACATGAACAAACACAACAAATACATTTATAATCATCTGATGTCTACACCTGATCTGGGATTAAGTCCAGAAAAGCATTTGGCCACAAGATGGTATGTATTTATTTCTTTAATACGTTATTGGTGCTGAACTGCAATAGAAGGTATTTAATTCTAAAGCTCTTTTGTTATTCAAAATTTCAAAGGCCCTAAAATTAACAAATTCCAAATTTAAATACCCACCCCTTCGGAGACAGACTGTTTTCTACCTTTATGGCACATGTTCAGAAAGTGAAAGTACTGAGGGGTTTCAGAGGAACTGAGTCTCAATATTAGAGGATGGGGCTTGAAATATTATGACAGAAAAATTGTAGAAAACTCACAAGTCTACAAATAGCTTATCTGGTTCACATTGAGGTGACAATGTAGTGAGACAAGTGAAGGAGAGGGTTCTTGTTAACACAATTCCTGCTGTTCAGAACCACCAAATATGCTGAGCTGGGAGGGACCCACAAGGATCATCGAGTCCAGCTCCTGGCCCTGCACAGGCCCAGCCCCAGCACTCCCACCATGTGCCTGAGAGGATCATCCAAACCCTCCTGGAGCTCTGGCAGCCTTGGGGCCGTGCCCACTGCCCTGGGGAGCCTGGTCAGTGCCCACCACCCTCTGGGGGAAGAACCTTTCCCTGAGATCCACCCCGAGCGCAAGGGGTACAACACCGACATTCCTCAGAGCTCCGAGGAATAAACGAGTTTTCCCAGGTGATGGGAGAACTCTGCTAAAGGACCAAGGCAGGCTGTGCCCTCCTGCTGCCCATCCCTGCACGTACTTGAGGGACTCCAGCACGGTCTGGCGGTGCTCGGCGGCTTTGAGGCGGATCTGCTCCCGGATGATGTCCGCGTTCTCCCGCTCCGCCTTGGCGCGGGCTCTGGCCTCCGCCTCCACCCGCAGCATCTCGTTCTTGTGCCTCAGCTCCATCTCTCTCTCCACAGTAGCTTTAAAAAAAAACAAACACAAACACCAGGAGAACAGCTCAATCTTTTGGGCTGGTTTGATCCCAGAGAGCAGAACCCTTGTAAGGAAGAGAAGCAAAATGGAGCTGCTGGTCCCCAAACGGGATTTTGGAAGCTTTGTTACTTGGGACACCAGAGATTGTGACAGACACATTAAGATTAAATCTCCTTTCACATCAATGAGAAACCTAGAACAGCCCGGGAGATGGGATGAGGATTTCATAGCCAGAATCCTCTGTCTTCAGGGTCACAAGGAATCCTGAAGGGCTGCCCAGGCTACCCTGACATTTCTATTTGGTGCCTCTGAGTAGGGTGACACGACAGGAGTAAAATAACCCACTACAGGAGTAAAATAACACACTCCTACAGGGTTTCACCACTGAGTTTTGTTACATGGATGCTACAGCACTTCCCTCAGCTGCTGGGAGCACACTAGCTGGCAGCCAGCAGAGGACAGCACAGCTGTCCACATCTGTGCTCGGAGCAAACCGGCCTTTCGTTCCCACAGAGTCACACACAGATTGCCTTAACAATTGTAAGGCTTGTACCCCAGTGGAATCCCACTGGAGTTCTGCAAACCCAGCAATCCTGCCAATTGCACAACAATCAAAAGAAATAAAGCAAGTTGCAGACTAAAACTTCGTTATTCGGCTTTTATTTTGTACAGGAAACAGCGAATGGAGATGATGTGACACAGATTCAACCACTCCTCCCAGGAGTTGTTTTGTTTCTCTTCCCTCCTCAAAACTGGTTCTATTTCAGATTGTCCCAGTGCAAAAGCACAATTTCAGTTGCTATACCAAAAAATGCCAATGGTTCATTGGGAAACCCAAGCACCACAGGGCAAATGTTTAGGACTGCAGCCACTAAAGCTAATCTTGGAAGCAACTGGTAGTTCTGGTACTACTGGGATTTACCTGTTACTTGCCAATGTGACATTAATGGAGCATCAACCAATATGGACAAAGAGTCAAAGATCAGTACAAGGAATTCATATGCCCACACACCCTTACAAGCCACAGAAAAATGACTTACCACGCCTCATGGCCTCCTGCTTCTGCACAGATTCTTCCTGCTTCCTCAGATTCTCCTCATTAGCAAGTTGCTACAGGCAGAGATGACAGCAGAAGATGTGTTAAAGTTGTAAGAACTCCATCAAGTAGGCATTTGTGTAAGTTCAAGCACTACAAATGTTTTCAAGAAGCTAGAGCTCAGGTGGAAGTCCATTCTTCCTCCCCCCATCTCCCAGATTTACCCTCCTAATCCCATGCTCCTGGCTGCTCTGCCCTAAGTCCCAGCCTTTGATTTTGCCTGGCCAGCACTGAAGATGCCAAGCAGGTAGTACAGATGAAAGCAACTGTGCCCAGCACCAGCCACTTGGCCAGGGCACAGCTCCAGATCATCTCTTGGGCTTAAGAGAGCTCCTACCCAATTCCCAGCTGGATCAGAGGAGGAATCCACCCTACCTGCTGTCGCATCTGCTCGTCGTAGCGCTGCCGTGCCAGCTTGTCCTGGTACTGGGCCCTCTTCAAAAAAGAAAACAGGACTCAGAACACAGAGATTTGGCAGTGAAGAGAGAACCTGGTCCTGAGGGAAATGAGGTTTGAAATGTGCAAAACCAAAATAAAGTGAGGAAACCCCCCCACCCAAAAAAACCAGTCCTGGGTTTGAATATGAACAGAGCAAAATTTGGGGCACCAGCATCAAAATCTCCTCTATGCTGAAAAACTGACATAGTTTGACTTCATTTTAAGGTGTTACAGAAATAAAAACAGAGAACAAGTGTTTCTTGACTCAGAGATTACTTACTTCACTGGGAAAATCACAGATTTCATGTTCTAAAACCCATTATTTGGACTGGTGACTGCAAGTAATAGAACTATCAAGATATGCTGCCTGTCACATGGGCTCTGGTTTTAATAGATTTACTAGTTCCTCATTAATTTCTCTATCAGTTTTCCACTGGCAAATAAACCTAAGCCATCTACACTCAACTAGAAGTGGTCTGAGGGTCCATATCCATCAGCAAGGAGAACTCTGTACAAGAGTTGGAATCATTCCCTATTCCAAAGGGATGGCAGAACAGCCTGGAATTTATTTCCTCAGCCACTATAAAACATGGCACTTCAGGAGCAAATCAGGACTGGGTTTGCTCTGACTTCAAATGATGCCTTGTGAGCTGCAGAGGGTGAAGAGCCAACCCCTGGAGGGAGCAGCTGCTTCCTGAGCCAGCCCCGTTCAAAGTCCAAACCCTGACAGGATAAAAGCAACATGTGCCAAATAAGCAGTTTTAGCTCATTTCCCAAGCTAGGTGACTCATTAGAATTAATCAATTCCCTCATCTCCTGTGCTCTCAAATTTAAAAGTCACCATATATGAGCCATCAGCATAAAGGCCAGGTTTAATTTTCCCTGTTTCAGTATTATTGCCACTACAGTAACTCATGCTAAAAGAGACCAGGAAGCACCAACACTTCCACAACAGACCCTCTGGTAACTCTCAGATCTGCATTCCTTCTCCTCTTAAGATAATTTTTTTCCTGTCAAACAGATCAAACTTGGAAGAAATAGGGTTACAAGCTACTTAAGAACTGAAACCCAAATAACTTCAGAGCCATTTCACCGTCCAGACTAACAAATACACTTGATAAGCCTTCAACACTTCCCTGAAAGATCCTTTAGGAAAATTCCAAAGAGAGAAAGTGCTGCTGCCAGTTCCTTTGGATGTTCAACAACTTGGCAACAGAAGTTCAAGAGGACAGAGCTGTCTGGAACTACAAATCAAGCTCAACATTACAAAGCCAGGATAGAGCATGGGCTCAGCCTGTGAACATCCTCACACCTCTGGCTGCCCGTGAGCCCCTTTCCCCCAACCCCAAAAGGGGGAATTAAAGCACTGGTGTCTTTTCCATGAAGGAAGATACAAACAGGGTCTCCCATCACTTGGCTTTCCCCTCATTCCCTTACTGCTTGATGCTGTTTTGTTTCTTCACTGAGTGTTTTCCTTCTCTCTTCTGCTTGTACCCGGATCTGCTCGTTCTTCAGTTGCTCTATGGCAGCTTCATACTCCTGTTAAAATGGACAATTATCACAAGTGAACTTAACAGAGAAACCCTACTGACAATTACATTCCAAGAAATCCATCTGTAATCAGAGTGGTGCCCTTAAAAGGGGACCAGTGCCAGCAGAAAGCTAAAATATGATCATAAAATATGACTGTAAGAAATCTCACAATTAACCATTTCAGGATTAAAGACAATTTATTTTTTAAAAAAACCACCAAGCCAACCAACACTCAAATAATCCTTAAATCCCTTTAAAATATATATATGAGTCTGTACTCACTCAACTGCTTTATTTAGAGTTTCCTACAGAAAACCCTTGTCATTCCCTCAAAACTGTGGTGACCTTCTAAACCACTCTGAAAGTTAAAAAAGCTTAGAAGTGACTTAGAAGTTACAAAACCACTCAGGAAATGCAAGTTTTAAACAAAGTATGTCCCAGAATAGGCCAAATCAGCTTGTACTTCACCTTCCAGAATTACTTTTTTTTTTTAAAAAAGGCAAATAACTTCAGCAAATAATGCCAGCAAATAATGCTGAAGCTGAACAGCAACAGGAAAACCTCACCATCCTCTGCAGGGCAGAGATTTCAACTCCTGCCCCTCCAAACCTGGCAGCTGCCTCAGGTGGGCTGGGTGTACAACACAGGAGGAGTTCCAAAGCTCCAACATACCTTGAGCTTGGTTTGTTGTTCCAGCTGCAAGGTCTGCTCCTGCATCTGGGCAAGGCTGAGGGCATCTTTGGCATGGCCTGCAATGGGCAGCAGGGAGAGATTATGGGCAGTGAAAGGTCTTTTCTCAGGAAAGATGATGCTCAGACTATTCAATCCACTGGGGCTCCCTGGAACACAGCTCTGCAGCTGCACATTCAGCCCTCCCTGGCAAAAATGGTCAGGAGTCTTCTCAGCACACCCATGACCTGAAGCCAACAGGTTTAACCAGCAGAGAAGGTCCAGCCAAGGCCAGGTTGGATGGGGCTTGGAGGTCTAGTGGAAGGTGTCCCTGTCCATGGCAGGGGGTGGGACTGGATGAGCTTTAAGGTCCCTTCCAACCCAAACCAGTCTGGGATTCTCTGATTCTATTCCAGCACCCCTGGGTGAACAGGGCAGGAGCCTGAGGCTGCCCCAGGCCAAGCAGGACCCGACAAGACATGAGTTATCACAGAATTCCAGAAGGGTTCAGGCTGGAAGGGACCACAGTGGTCCCATCTGGTCCCACCTCCCTGCTCCAGCAAGGTCATCCCAGAGCATTGCATCCAGATGGCTCTGGGATATTCCCAGTGAGGGAGACTCGACATCCTTCTCTGGGCAATCTGTTCCCACACAGCAAAGAAGTTCTTCCACATATTCAGGGGGAACTTCCCTGGCACGAGTTCCTGCCTGTTCCTCCTGTCCCACTTCTGGGCATGCCCTGACATCGGGGTTTGGAGATGTAAGTGGAATGTACCCTAAAAACTACACCTGGATGAGCCAAGTGATTTAAAGGGACTAACCAAGCAAAGCAAAGAGACAACGAGGAGAGGAGCTGAGGCAGCCACCAAAGCAATACTCAGCTGCTCTATAACCAAGTGAATTGCCTTGAACAAGGTCATAAGGCAGAACTATAGGGTGTTCAGGCACAGAAGAGCACCAAAGACCCCCGAAGAAGCCCCTTATAAGGCCTCTGAGAGGATATGTATATATATTAACAGGATATGCAAATACGCTAATAGGTGTTGGGAAATACCAATGAATATGTAACAGGAATACAGGGAGCTCAAAGTCAACCATGTGATGCTGACCTATCAGCTGCAGTGGAGATGCCTCTGGATGCACTCTGGCGAAATGATGACCGAGCAAAGAATGCCGAGACTTCTAAAACTCACAAACGGGTCTCGGAGGTTTCTGTCAAGCAACACCCCGAGCAGAGCCCGGTGCATCGCCGACCCCTCCCTCTGGGCATTCACACACACCGCTGAGGTACCGACGCCCGCCAGCCCCACCCCGCGCCCTCCCCGCCCGTCCCCTCACGCACGGGACGCGTCCAGCTCCCGCGCCGCCTTGGCCGCCCGCTCCAGGCCCGTGGGGTCGAAGTTGCTCCATTTGTCCTTGGGCGTCTGGCGGTCCCCGGCGCCTCCAGCAGCGGCACCGCCGGGGGCCGGGGGCAGGGAGAGGCCGGTCCCCGCCCCGGGGCCCCCTCCGGCCGCGCCGTCGCCGCCGCCCGGGGCGGCCCCGCGGTTCAGCCCGAACAGCCACGACATGAGAGCGGGCGGCTGCACGCGGCGCGCCGCGCGCCTGCGCGGCGGGGCGGACCGCCCGCTCATTGGCCCGCGCCGGGGGCGGGTCGCCCGCCCATTGGCCCGCTCCGAGGGGCGGGCCGCCCTGTGATTGGAGGGACGGCGCCGCGTGCGGAGTTTGATTGGTTGTGCGAGGGGAAAAGGCGGGACGACGGGGAAAAGCAAAGGGCGCTTCCGCGTAGCAACGGGAGTTTGACGCGTTGCTAAGGGCGGGGAGGGAAACGGCGCGCTGGGGTTACGGGGACAGAGGGATGGATTTCCCCTGGAAATCGGTTCCTGGTCCAGCTGGTTGGAACAGGAGAGATAACACAAAAGCCTTTAGAAAAGAGGAATGGAAGGAAACCCATCTGTGTGCTGGTCCGGGATTTCCCTGAAAATCAGCTCCTAATTCAACTGCTTGGAATGGGAAAGATGATAGGGAAGTGTAAAAGAAAAGGGGAGTGGAGGGAAACCCATCTCTGTGGTTATCCAGGATAAACAGCAGGATTTCCCTCGGAAATTGGCTCCTACTCCAACTGCTGGGAATGGGAAAGTGTAAAAGGAAAGGGGAGTGGAGGGAAACCCATTTATGTGCTGAACCAGGATTTCCCTGAAAATCAGCTCACAAGTACTTACCAGTTCTGCCAAGATCTCAGGGTCATTTACTCTTTGGCTCTTTGCAAAACAATTCTTAGTGGAGCTGAGACTTTACTGATATATTTCTATTTATATATTTCCAGCACATTTTTTGAGGGATGGGGGTAAAATTTTGTGTAAACCAGACTATGAAGTCATGGGCAGAACACTTACTTTCCAGCGATTTAAAATTAAGATGATTTAACAGCTCAACTTGGTGATCTCAGAGGCCTTTCACAGCTTTTTATGAGTCTATGAACACCAGCTTTTCAACCCTTGGAACAAAAGCTACACTCCACAGATTTGCCCTTATTGCCATTGAGAACAAAGTAATCATTCAATAGCTCTTCTATTTATATTTAATTGTCTTCAAAAGGGTGTGTTACAATTGGGGGGGTGGGTGACATGTTAATGGATTAATAAACTATGCAGGGAGTTGTGCAAACTTAATTTCTGTCCTACAGCAAGAACAAACAAGATCATCTTATTGCATGAGAGATTCCAGAGGCTTTATCATCCCTTCAGCATTAATCAGTCACAAATGCACATTCCAGAGGAGGACACAAATCATAGGAAATCTCCTTATTGAGTTAATGAGTGGCTCGCCTCCCTCCATCCCTTCCTCCTGTGCAAGACAGACCGTGGAAAATGCTCCATAAACCTACAGGTGATGAATTCAGCACTCAGGAGACAAGGCCAGGGATAAAGTTCCTCTAAGCTCCAAAAGGAGCTGTTTTGAGAAGTCCAAAGCAGAGCTAAGGGAGGGTTTGTGACACTTGATGGGGCTCTCCAACAAACAGCTCGGCTTTAAGAAATGAGTTCCACGTGTAGGGCAAATAAGCAATACATTTAAAACAGAGCAAGTGCTACTGAGGGAGGGTGTTCCCACTGATCTGGAGTTTAGCAGAGAAGTATTTACATTTCTTTACAGCCCTAAGCCCTGAATTTTGAGACCGGTTGCTTTGTCGCTAAGTATTTAATTTGTGGGTTTTTTCCAGCTCTGCTTTCCAGAGGAGCTTAGTGACAGCAAATTCAAGCCTGGGGCCAAAAGGAAAGAATCAGATCTACTTTTCTCCCCTAAAAAACTGACTTTTAAGTGTAGCTCAAGCTTAGCACCGGGTGGAAGCCCAGGACAAGACACTAAATATGTGCTAGGTGTGTGCAGAGGAATGATAGTGCTGGAGACTTATTGCCTGTAATTAGACACAGAACAGGCTAATTAATCTCCATATAGCTGCTCTGACAGCAGGACTCACATCCAATTTGGTGAAATGATTGCAGTGGTGATGATCCAGGCAGGGCTGCACTGCTGTTTGGAGGTGTGCATTTGAAGGAGAAACAAAAATAAGTGCCCTAGATGGTCTTGCTGTCTGGCTTTTCTGGACTCACTGCTGCTCCTTGAGCTCAGCTGAGGGCTCAGAGCTCTGGAGTAACCTACTGGGAAAGCAAATTCCCGTGGTTTTGAGTTTCCTGCTCTCTCAGACTCCAGGTTCAGTGGCTGTTGAGAGCAGGAATGGATTTGGCCACATGGAATCCTTCTGAGAGTGCCCTGAATGAAAGGCCAGGGCAGTGAACAGTCAAGTCTAGAACGTGCTCAGAAGCTGCAAAAATAAAACTGTATTGACATTTAATAAATAGAGAACAGGCAGCAAGCAAGCAAGAGTGAGGGTTCACCACTTTGCCTTCTGTTTGTTATTTGTTGGGCATATTTATATAAAAGAGGGTACGGATTTGGGATCTATTACTCAGATTGGTTGTTCCACCCAGCCAAGCCAAACCTTTAAGCTTTCAGAGAACTTGGCTGAGGACACCTTTGGGCTCGACCACCAGGACACCTCAAGGGACAGTGCAGGCTGGGAGATGATCTCTGAGCTTCCCCTGAGCCCTCCTTTTCATCCAAGTCTTTGTCCAAGCAGGATCCCTCGTTCTGCTGGGAATCAGTTCACTCCAGTCCATCACGCTCTCTGTCTGTGCCTGTACCCCTGGGCCTCTGTAACTGGAAGAACACAAGAAATACAATGTCAGCTTTATCCACCCTTCTCCAAATTTGACTGAGTCAGAGATCTCGCCCCTGTGGTCATTTTTACTCTCCCTCCAGCCTCTTGCTGGGAAAAAGGCCGTGCTTCTGCACGGCCACACAGCTTCTGTTCAGCTCTTACTTCATCCTATCCAGAATCCCTTTTTGTTCCGTGGCAGGAAGTGGCTTCTGGGCAGCAGGAGGAAGAAAGAAGATGTGTTGTGTCTTAGTTACTGGCTTTAATAGTTACCTGGTCCCAGCCACGTTGGAAAGCAAAGGGTATGTTCCAAATTAAACAGTGTTTCCAATGCCCATGCCAGCTTTTAGCAGTATTCCCACCCTTGGCATCCCAAAGTAGTTCCAGGACTGTCTCCACTGTACACTTTTCCTCCTGCCTGCCATGTGCTCCACTAGGAGGAGTCTTGCTCCGAAAAATAGGGGAAAAGAGCCCATCCTTGGTCAGTTTGGTGCTGTGATGAAGCCCCATGACAAGCCAGCTGATGAGCACAGAATATTCCAGCCACGAGGGCTCCTCTGTGCTGGTTCTCCAGCACCTCAGGGCTCACAGGAGAAATAGAAACTTTACTCACAGTATCCTGGAATGCCCAAATAAGGAACAATATAATCTCAGAGAAGCCCTAGAGAATTAGATAAGGGATGTAACTCAAACAAACAGCACGTAAACTAAGCTCTGTGTACCCAAACAAGATAAAGAACAAACGTTACAGTTTTTGGGGGTGAAATACTACGATGCTGTGGCCGCTCAAGAACTGAGGTCAACACAAGCAAGAAGACCCAGAAGGACCGAAAAAAGGACTTCCAATAAGGGTGTGACTACGTAAAGCAAACTAATGAATATGTATTAAGTAAGCAAGACCACCTAATGACTACGTGAACAGTGTGTGTGATAAAAAGTGTAATAAAAAGCCCTGTCCATCTGTCATTTGAGAGGAGCTCTCCCCCCCATGCCCAGCCTGCTGATGAATAAACAACACCTACAAACTGGTGTCAAGGAGTTTGGTTTAGGAGCATCAGGGCCCTTCAGGACCCTGGGCTGAGGGCCCCCAGGACGTGCCTTGCCCCCCCCCAGCTCACCTGGCTGCATGTGCACCACGCGGCAGAGCCTTCTGCCGGGCTGGTTCCTGTACACGGGCTTCACACAGACCTTGTTGGTGGTGCCCGAGGCCAGGTCTGTGAGCAGCACGCTGTGCACCCGCGGGGACACGCTGAGCACCGAGGACGGGCCCGTCTGCCGCCGGCACCGCACCTTGTAACCCAGGACCTGCCCGTCAGCAGAGTCCCAGGAGGCTTTCAGGGTGTTGGGGCCCATGTCCTCGAAGCGGAGGTGCCTCACTTTGGAGCCCTCTGGAGAAAGAAGATCCGTGTCACTGCTGTGGGACATTTGTGTGTCTATTCCCCCCCGCCCCGAGGAGGGGCTGCCAGCCAGCCTGGGCTTTGTTTGCTGTTGTTCACTGTTTTTTAACAGTAGCAAGAGATGAAGATGAAGATAGCAGTGACAATTAAACCAGTCTGGGCCATTCCACAGTTGGAAAGTTCTAATTTCTGCCTGCCAAGGGTCCTGTCTGTCCCTGCTCTCCCAGGGGCCAGAAGCAGGAGGGGTGGGGATTGAGGGCTGCCTCCTCCAGGTAGGGAGGAGTGGACATATGTGGCTTTAGAAAGGTTAACTCAGGTGATGTTGCCAATGTCTGGTATTTTCCTTAAAGCACCCAACCCCTGGATTCACGTGGGAATCTCACCTTCCATTAAAATCCCAGACTAGTAGCTTTTAGACCTGGTAGATGCACAGACCCAACATAACTCTACATCTCCACACTGGAGGAGCTCGGCCTAATTAGTCCTTAACTTTGTCCAGCACAAAGTACTTTTGTTTGCACCATTAGGCACTGACTGTGACCTCCCACACCCTCAGCTCTGTCATTCCCTGAGCTCCTCTCTCTTGAGCCCTGATAAGAGCTGGACTTTGCCTCCTGCAATACCTTTACAGGTATTTCTTCAAAGGAGAAGCTTCTGCTGGTTAAACTTTTACTCCTTGAACGCTAAATCACAACGAACAGACACTGAGGAGACAGGAGGGAAAGGCAGTTTTCTTTCTCTTTTAGAGAGATCCATGTCCATTCTGCTTGTGCTGAACCAGCAGCATCAGCACCCCCTGTACCATCCATCATGTGTGTGTCTGATTCTCTTCAGTCCTCACACATCTGCTGCATCCTGATGGCACAGCATCAGAAGCTGCAGCTTTCCCCTTGCCGTCCCACCCCAGTAACTGGATTCAGAGCTCTCTGGCCTCACCTAGAGGCAGGTGGGAAAGACACAGGGACGCTCCAGAG